CATGCTACAGGAGTTGCTGAAAATAAACAGCAATAAAACAGAAATATCCGTGTTCCTTGTTTGTGTACTCCTAGTATTATACTGTATTTTCCTTTTTCCCTCGTGTATTGTCCAAGAGTAGTTCCCTCAGTTTTCTGAATATGATCTACGGTATTTTTTTGGAATATTGCCACAATGTTAAAGGCATTGCCAGGTTGAGAATGAGAGAGTGGAATGCAAACCTCAACTCGGTTCTTCTGATATCTTACATAAAGTAACAAGTAAGTTTTTGTAAGATATTATAGTATACTGTAGTCCAGGCTCAGACAGATGATTTGATACAAGACTCCTAACGGGTAGAGATATTGAGGTAGATGCAATACCTAATAAGTGTTTAAGTCATCAAGTGCTGTCTTTAGCTTTTTCACTCTTCTCACACATGCAGCTGCATGCAGGAATCAGGAATCAGGAAACATGCAAGAAACAGCACGTGAAGCTGGGGAAACATGTCTCAGCCTCTCGGACCATCAGCACCGGTTCCCCCCAAGGCTGCGATCTTTCCCCTCTGCTCTTCTCCATGTACACCAACAGCTGCACCTCCAGCCACCAGTCCGTCAAGCTCCTGAAGTTTGCGGATGACACCACCCTCATTGGACTGATCTCTGGTGGGGATGAGTCCGCCTACAGGTGGGAGTCTGACCATCTGGTGTCGTGGTGCAGCCAGAACTACCTGGAGCTCAACGCTCTAAAGACAGTGGAGATGGTTGTGGATTTCCGGAGGAACAGAGCCCCACCTTCCCCCATCACCCTGTGTGACTCCCCCGTCACTATTGTGGACTCCTTCCGTTTCCTGGGCTCCATCATCACCCAGGACCTCAAGTGGGAGCTGAACATCAGCTCCATCACAAAGAAGGCTCAGCAGAGGTTGATCTTCCTGAGGCAGCTGAAGAAATTTAGCCTGCCAAAGACGATGATGGTGCACTTCTACACGGACATCATCGAGTCCATCCTCTGCTCCTCCATCACCGTCTGGTACGCTGCAGCCACAGCCAAGGACAAGGTCAGGCTGCAGCGTGTCATCCGCTCTGCAGAGAGGGTGATCGGCTGCAATCTGCCGTCCCTGCAGGACTTGTTCGCTTCCAGGTCTCTGAAGCGAGCTAAAAAGATTGTAGCCGACCCCTCTCACCCCGGACAAAACCTGTTTGTGCCCCTACATCTGGCAAGAGGCTGAGGTCCATCAGGACTAAGACCTCCCGCCACACGAACAGTTTCTTCCCGTCGGCAGTCGGGCTCATCAACAGAGCCCGGTCCCCCACTGACTGACTATAACATTCCACCGGTCACTCCCCTTCATACTGCACATGTCACTTTAACTGTAATTTTTCACTCGTCACTCTTCACTTTGTCGTCACTTTGTTACTTGTTCGCTAGTGCACATTATGCTTAATTTTTTTAATTTGTTTAAATATTTTACATTTTTAACTTTAACTTTATTCTCTTGTTTTATACTAACCCATAGCCTTATTCTACTAACCCATTGCATTAGCATTTAATTTTACTTTATTTTATTACTTGTGCACTGCTGTCTTATTGTCTATTGTTACACTGTCCACTGTCACGCACCAACCGCCAAGACAAATTCCTTGTATGTTCGACATATTTGGGAAATAAATGTTTCCTGATTCCTGATTCCTGAGCACTGATACACTCATGACTTAGCAAACCAAGCACCACAAAGTAAACTCCAAACATAAAACTTCAAGCACTTGCTCAATGGCAGTTTTTTATTCAGTGAGTTTTCTACGACGAGAATGAAGGAAACTTGCTGATTTTTTTATTGTGTATATGCCGCAGGACATCCGTGCTGCACTCACTGCATCATTCACCAGCCAAAGGGCTTGCTGTGTACCTCCCTCTCCATCTCACCCTCCACCTGTCTGGTGCACTAATCCCTCCATCATTCCCTCTCGACAGTAAGGTGATTAGGGGAAGAGAGCCAAGACCTGCTGAAAAAGCAGCTTCACTTTAATTATCCTCTCAGAAAGAAACAAACAGTTGATCAGAGTCTTCTTCCGCAGACTTAGCTACTGTTGCCGGGTTATAGCAAATGTTCGACAACCAGCCGTTACCTAGGTTACCATTGTCTCCTTGCGGCTGGGAACTCTCTGTACGGATGAGATCCTTTTTAAAATGATTTGTGTCCCCATGTAAATGGGATCTGATAAACAACATATTAGCATCTACACAAACACATCCATGCTTATGCCTTCTCCATGCACACACTCTCAGATGTAAGCAAACATACATGTCACCGGTAGATTCAGAAATAGACTTCATTAAATGTGTCATGTTCTCTGTCACGCTCCAGGTTGTTCATGATCTGATATACACAAGAAGCTTTGCCAACGTTTTTCACAAATTATTGTTGTCCAAGTTACAGTGTCAGAAAAGTGTGTGTGGTGGGTGGGGGTATGCAAGAACACTGCTGGGCTGGGTTCCAAAGCGAGACACCATAGTCACCATGGTAGTTGCCGTGCAGACCAGGAGACGGAAATACAGCCTGGACGTGTGTTTGCATCAATAAAATATTGTGGAATCCAGAGGGACAAAGGGTAATGAGGTATTAACAGGATTACCAAAACACCACATTATTTTGGATTATAAAATCATTCTGAAAGGATCGTAGGTACTTTGCAGGTGGATCCCAAACATATTGGACAGGATATACTGCTAAAATGGACCTTACCTTTAGAGTACTCCGAACTCTAAAAGGGATATATACTAGATGTAAGTACGCACCACTTTACAACCACATTGTGTTCATTATGTCAGTCACCGACAGCCCAGTTTCCGCTGGTCACACTGAACCAGTTTTGTCAGGGTTTTTGTGTGTTATGTTGTTGTCTTGTTCTTGTTCTGCGTCTATGTTGTATGTCTGTGTGTTGATGTCTTACTGGTTGCCATGATAACGGGCCTTGGGCCTGGATAACGCGCAGCTGTTCCGGATCACACACCTGGTTCCTGTCCACAATCAGGAGGGTATTAAGAGCAGCCCTGACATCCATCCATCCAACCAACCAACCAACCAATGAACGTCGTTCGTTCGCCATGTCTGTATTGCACATTCTTCAGTAACTCTATTTCTTACTCACTAATTAACCCATTACCCTGGCTGGAGTATGGATATATATATTACAAGGAAAGTTGCTTATTAGAAAAAATAAAAATGAGGCTGTGTGGAGTACTTCAACATTTCAGAGTGCAACCCTTTTGGCAAGAAACCATTGCCAGATGGAGCAAACATACATGTGTGTTTATCTCATACATGCAGTTGTGATGTTCAAATGCCTGATGCCTGATGGTAACTACAGTCTATTTCAGCGACTTGTTAATGACATTTAAGCGGAAATGATTGATTACTCCATTAGTTTGTACTATAGACTAAGACTATAGTAGTAGTTAAACTCCTTTGAAAGTGAAGTGATAGTTTGGGGATTTTTTACTGTTGGTTGGACAAAACTAATAAATAATAATCTAAACCGAGCTCTGGGAGATTGTAACTATTGATAATATTGGCTGACAGATGGAATATGAAAAGAGTAATGTTGCATAGTTTAATATGGGTTCTTTTGGGAAATTCCACTGAAACATCTTTTGTCTGTTGTCTATTCTTCATGCATATTCTATCCCCCACAGCATGAATGACCCAGTTTTTCCCACAAGCACATTATAGTTTCATCTGAAGGCAAACTAGAATATATAATACTATTCAGCACAGCTGTAACTCAATGAAATTACAGCTGCTCTCATTTCCTGATGCTGTGGTTTTAATTAGAGGCTCCCTTTAGTGGCCTTCTCATGACTCACTGGATTAGTGCCTGATTATCAGCCATGAAGGTGTTTCCCATCTTAACCAATAGGGAAGCATTTTTTCGCTATCTGCGATCCTTAAAGATTTCCACGTGGACGTTTGACGCAAGTTTAAAGAACTTGGAGGGAATTCAAACGAATGACGGCTGAGGAGGAAACTCGGGGTTGCTATCGCAGGTGGAATGTGTCTCCCCTGCTGAAGGACATGCTTTATCATGCACACACACACGCACACACACACTCTCTCTCACACACACACACAGAATGAGATGTGCCATGTTCCCACTGATGGACAACAGAAGCTGTGGCAGAAGGATGGCATTAAAAAGCAGCAGGGGATGCAGTGTGATATAAATGTCAGACCAAAACCAGCAGGCTAAGTTCTGTTACATGTTTTAATCAAATTACCACATGTACATGAACGTGTGTGTGTGTATCTCAGTATGCGAGTTGCTGTGCCCACAGCATTAGTATGCAGACCGTATGCATATTGGATGTCGGTTACGATGCAATTTGTGAATGAATTGTGTGTCTAGATTTGTGCACACAGCCCTCATGTGCATGTGGCTGCATGTAAGCCCATGTTATTGCACAAAATATATTCAATTTGCCATCGTAGTAAAGTAGCAAGTAATGTGAACAAGTTAAAAAGAAACCTAAGTTTGCATTTGCACCCTCACTCCTTTCATCTGATTTCAGTCTCTTCAGCTATCTGAGCACTTAAGGACTTAGGAGGGTACTTGCTACCAATTTTTATTTAAAAGGCTTTCACTGGATATTGGGGGGTGAATTCATTTGAAGAAAAACTCAGTGGAGCGCACGGGGTAGGAGCCTGATATTACTTAGGGGACTGCTTCTGGCAGGTTTCTGCTTCAAATCCTGTGTTGTTTGATCTCCTCTGGGCAGCGAGCAAAGAAAAGCCCACAGCTAGTTGAAATCTGCTCACAATTACGCAAAACATCAACTAGTTTCTGTCTTTCATGAATCGGTCCCATCGCTTTCACTTCCCAACATGCAGTGCGGTAAATCAAATGTGCCGAATGTGTGTTTGCAGCCTCTTGTGCAAGCCTCCGGTGTTGAAGCATAGTTATGCTTGGACACCCCCGTGTCTTTGTGTGGGCGCTTTTTGTGTGACCGACTGCGTAACTCACCCAGCCACCACTATGAAGAAGTCCAAGCGGTTCCACGTGTCTCCGAGGTAACACTTCTTGCCGAAAATCCCCAAAGCCATCATCTTGATGACCATCTCAATGGCAAAGAAAGCGAAGATGAAGTCATCAAATTTCTGGAGAAGGAGGGGGACACAGAAAATGCGAGTTAGCATTGTTGCGTAAAGTTAGCGTCTCAAAGTGCAGCAGAGCCTGATGGGAATGTCATCAGTTTAAAACCAGAGGCTTACACAAAACTTTTATACAATGATGGTGCTAAATAGGTAATAAACATATTAATGTCCATTCTGAGGGGAACACAAATATATCTAGAAAATCACATGGACATACATCCCGTAATTCTTAAGACACTTCACCCACGACTACAAATGCCAACATTAGAGGAAAGCTACTGGTTCACCTTAAACAACATCTGGCAGTCATGAATGTCTGCAAAATATATTATATATATATATATATATATATATATATATATATATAGACCATCAATCGCTTTGGAACAACATTTTTGCATTCCAAAGCTGCAGTTTCCTTGTTATTTAACAGCCAACATATCGCTCTCAAATCGCCAACAAACCGCAGCTTGTTTTTGTTGCACCTTTAGAGTATGTATAGTTGCACCAGGCTGTCAACTGACTATTAGACAACCTAATCAACTGACGTAGTGGCTTTTAAAGCGCTATATGAATAAAAGGTATTATTATTTTTAGGATGAAGAGCGAGTCTGCTTTAGTCGGGATGGGGCTACAAGGAACAAACACAGGACATTCACCCATGAGGCCGCTGGATGTCCCGTCTGCACCACCATTGATTTAGCAAAAAAGACTGTACTCGTCTAACGAGGGGAAACATATTATTATTAACTCATTATATACATATAAGATTATTATTTGTATCCATATATTAGTCGTGCTCTAATATCTTCATGTATGATGTTTAAAAACAGCTCATGAGAACCTTTGATGGCCACATGATACTTTATTAAACCCTGCAGAGGAATCATCATTTCTATTTTCCTTGCTGCTGGGAGGGAAGGATCCGAATTGGAAAAGGAGAAACGATAAGAGAGGAGCCCCAGTGCAGATTCAACAGGATTTGGTATCTAGCTTGAGGACACTGAAGCAATATGGCTCCTCTAGTTTAAGGATGCTCGGGCATACGATAAGGCCACCTTACTGCTTTTAACTCAAGTGATACATGGACCCAGATCCAGAGAATATAAACTAATAACCCGGAACAAGCCTCATTTTGCTCTACTCAGCATTACCGCCCTCGTTAATGTCGGGCGAAGCTTCCTCTCTCCCAATCACCATCAAACTGGACTGAAGAAATAAACGAGGGTGAGAGTGAGGGCGGCAGCTGGACAGGAACTAAAGAAAAAAACAAAAGATAACCTTAATTATGAAAATCAATGAAATAATTCAAAAAGGCAGAAGAGAGAGAATTGGATATGAGGAGGGTAAAGAATGCAGCTCAACGTAGAAAGGAGAAAAGAAAAGAAACATTCTGGAAGGAGATCAAGGCACAGGACACCCACTGATGGATGAGTCATCCAAGCAAGAACAGGGAAGAGTACAAATACATCAAATCCTGTAAGCTTAGGAAGAGGCTGGCCTGCTCGCTGCTTTAAGTTTAAGTGAAATGTAGATGTTCACACAGGAATGCATGTGTGTGTGTGTGTGTGTGTGTCCAACTCAAAGTGCTCATCCATCCCAACGTGCCAAAAATTATATAAAGATTTCACGCAGTGTGATGTCTCACTACTACTCCCATGGCACTGGCTTCAGTGTTTGACCTAAATGTTATCTGAACAGTCTGCTGGAACTATCTGCTACTTGCTATAGTACATGTAGTAAATGACACAATGCTACGGGTGGTATTGGTTGAATACTGAAAATACCTTTTCAATAGCCAATTGGATACAAAAAAAATGTCATGTCCTCATATTTTTTATGTAAGTAGAGAGCATATGCCAGGTATTGTGTTGATTTTCATCTTTTTTTGGAATGCTCAGAGAACGTTAGTCCTTGTTACTGCTCAACTGACCTCATGACACTTTTTACCTGCTTGCAATGTGTTATTATTAAGAGGGCAATATCAGGGCAGCTCACAAAGGAATACAGCTGAAACTGCTCCTTGGAACAGTGTAGGGGGTGGGGGGGTGTATTTCAGTGAATCCAATACTGAGTGGGAACTTCACAATGCAACCAACCGTTTACTTGTTCCAACAAAGAACAAAGTGTTTTTTTTGTCAGGCAGAAAAACACCATGAAATATTAATTTGCATTTAATTTTTAACCTCAAATTCAGCTTTGGGTGACTTGAAAGTTGAGGCAAAGACAAAAAGAAGAGTGTCCAAATATTGTAGTCACAGTGAGGTTGCCAGGCAACTAGCTGAGACTTCATGAATTAACTGCACCATGTTGTTACAGCTAACAACTCAAATTCTTTTACATGTTTTCTTACATTCACAAAAACAATTTAGATCTGCATACTGTTTAACCTTGGAAACAACAGTCTTTATGCTAAGAAAAGTTTAAGTCAAACTTTTGACTGCAGTTTAATTTAGTAAGTAACACACAGGCATGAGAACGCTATCAATATTCTCATCCAACTCGCGGCTGGAAACCAAGAAACTGCATTTTTCTACAATCTATACGATTCAATATTTTTCAGGAAAACAGGTTTTTCATGCAAGATACACAGATGTTCACCATTCAAAGTCTGTGTAAGGGCTTTCTAAAGGTCTGGATTAAAACACCTTGTGGGGCCAACGGGGCGGCACCCTGTCCTTGTTAGATGTCAGCTCTCTGCAGATGATTTGCATGATGGATAAGAACAGTCTGTTGGAATAAAAACAAGAAGATCCTGCTATTGATGTGCCTAACGGACCAGGATGCTCACATTGTGTGGAATGGAGCAGAGCCCGAGTGTTTTCCGCCACGGCGAGCATGAAATGACTGCACTGTTCTCTCCTCTGATAGCACCCTGAATTCAGTCTCCGTTGTCTTCTGTGTATTGACAGGAGACGTTCATCTTGTCTCTGCTGACGACTAATCTCGAATATATTTTCTCACCCACAGAACCCCCAACGTAGGAACCTACTTTAGTGTTGATGGGGACAATACAGCTGCTGCGACCTACACACGCATAAAGTAACACAACGTGTGACCTCAGCTCAACCTTCCTCATGAGTCTCACTCCAAACAAGCACACACACTCTACACCCAGCTGGGGTTCAAATGTATGCAAGTCCACAGGAGGCGCCTGCCTGAGGCGTTTCTGGGCCTATGCAATCGGGATATTGATTTGCTGGAGCTTGAAGCAGATTGCCTGAGCCTGATGAACATGTATTGGATTTAATATCCAAGTGCACAGGAAACAAGCTGTGTGGGTGCAAGTACAATCACAGGCTTGGATCTCTAAGGTCTCCTGATGTTGAGAATATACCAAGCAGGGGAATTAGTTTGCACGGTGTGTTTTACCAGGCTTTACAGGCTGTACGTCCATGTTCAGGCCAGAGAAGACTAACACACACACACACACACACACACACACACACACACACACACACACACACACACACACTTGCTCAGAGGGAATAGACACAAGTGACCTGTTCTGAACGCCTCACTGCTCTCGCTTCCATAATTTCTCCCCTCCACTGCATTCTCTCCCTGCGAGCAGAGGGACAGAACATTGTTTTTTATTCCCTCGACTTTTGGTAATTTAATTTCCCATTATGTCAAAAACAGAAAACTGGAAAAAGTTCATTAGCAAATTCACTTTAGTACAGTGTGACAGTCACAATAGTGACGGCAGAGAGGGATGAGTGTTCATTAATACAGTATATGTATACGATGAAGTGGTGAATGAGATAACTGAAACCCTTAAATGGGTATGTCATACAAACTTTTCAGGTTTGGCAACAAATCAGGTTTGTTGCTGATGGTAATTGTGCTCATAGTTGCCGTGGTTTGAGATTATTTGTCAATAAAACCGGCTTGGCGGTAAACTATTTGTGTTTTGATTGTGTGTAGGTGGTAGACACCACCGCTCAGCCTTTCTATATTTATTCCAAACAAACCGCTGTTGCAGGAAATGTAAACGCTTCAACTTCCTGTGCAACGGAGACTTGCCAGACGCTTGGTTAAAACGGCAATTGTCAATTTTAAATTGCGATATCGGCAACTGTGGGATGGGTGCGGAACTAATGACTGTTAAAGTCTAACTGCCCCCCCCCCCCGGTATGAGCCTATGGAAACCCACAAGTCAGGCAAAAGACTGCCACTGGCTGATGATTATTTCAACACTCCTATTTTCCTTTTTTTACAAATCCGGGTATTCGTTTAGCCTTCCTTTCATTTCCCACTCACTCCCGTCTCCCTGCAGTAACAGCTGGATGGGGTTCTCACTGTACACCATGTGATCAGCTGGCAGTCCTCCCTCTCCGGTCCGCCCCTCACTTCTCTCCTATCTTCCTCTTATCTTATTGCTCTCCCACGGGCTCCCCCCCTCGTCCCGTGGGTGGCGTATCGCCCCTGCTACTGTGATTGCATGTCTTGCAACATCCCACTGTGTGCACCCCTAATGACCTTTTGCGTGTGTTGATGCTCATGTGTAATTGCTACGTGTCATTCTTTGTGTGCGTGTTTATAATCAAATTGGCTGTGTTTGTAAGAGTGTGTGTGTGTGTGTGTGCGCGTATGTGTGTCTGTTTCTCACACACCATTACACTGTATTTACACACATAAAGCATCCATGTGTCGTGAGGCTAGCGTGAACCTCTCGGCCTAAACAATCACACTGCACGCCAGCTTAACAGCCCTGTGTGTGTTTGTGTGTGTGTGTGTGTGTGTGGACGCCTGTTCACATTGCCTGAGAACAAGCGTAAACACACGTGTTCGCCAGGCACACGCAGACATCAGCGAGGTCTATCGCGTGTTATTAATGCGTGGAGCGAGTGCCAACATTACACACTCTCTCATCACCTCCTGAACGGAGCCCTTTATGTTCTGAGTGCTTCTTTATCTCTAATGCTGAGTGCACTTAAAAGGCTGCCGACCGGCTCACTCAAAATCATCAAGTGTCAAAGCACGTATCGTAGGCTGCTCCGCGGCCGCCCATGACCTCTGGCAGGCCAGCGGTCAGGAACAAAATGTTAGCTTCACACGTTTCTGCAAACCAAATTCCGTAGCAAAACGACCCCGATACGACTTGATAACATAAAGTTTGGTAAGCCTACTGTGGTGGCAGGGCGTGGTTTGGCTCGGCTGCAGAGGGGGCCGAGGGCCGGAGACGTAATTGCGCTTGTTAAATAAGCGCTAGTGGCGATCAGGGGGAAAGAGGAGTAAAGGACGAAGAGTCCGACGCAGAAAGTGTGATTGCTGCCGGCAAAACATAAATAAAGAATGATTAGAAAACAGCAACCCATTGTGCATGTTGTCTGCTTGCAACTCAAATAAAGGTAACCAGACCCTTTACAGCAATTATGAAGGGTTTTTCTTATTATCTCCTTTCACACAGTCAAATACATTCATGAACTAACCCACAATGAAACAATATTTTTTTATGTTTAATTCATAATTATTAACAGTTTTCAATTTTTCTAACAAAAAAACATAGACATAATGGCGAAAGCGCTCATTATACTGAAATTCTATTGCATTGTCATGAATCATTTTGGAATAAAATGCATCCCTTTTGCAGATGTTAAATCGTCGCTGTCTTCCCTAATGAAGCCATAAAGAACCTCTCTGCTTGATGACTGCCGTGTCCATCGGCGCACTTCAACAACAGACATAAAGTTGTGTATACACGTATATATTCTTCTCTGCTGAAACAGGTGCCATCAATTCTGCAATAACAGTTCCCTGCCGGCTCCCCAGAAAATAAATCTCATCCACTATGTATGCTAATTCCGCCTGTCACAAGTCTGAATGCTATTATCACAGGGGTCAAATGCTTTCATCGAAAGCGTGCACACACACTCTAACACACACACACACACACTAACGCAGGTGCGCTGTGCAGACCGGCGTGCAGCCGTATGCCTCATGTGGTGAGGACAATAGGGAGGCTAACTTGAATATGCCATCCAGTTGAGATCCTCCCCTCCCGGGTAAGGGGAGACAACATTGTGAGAATCTTTTCAGCTCGGTCTCGACTGTTTATGGCACACAAGATCTGACGTTGTTTCACCGTCTCGCCAGGCTGACGTGAGGTTGAACCGGTGTGTGTGTTGTGTATGTGTGTGTGTGTGTCGTAGCAGGCATAAAAGCGCCTACGATGGTTCATCCAGCAGCAAAAGATAAGTGCAGTCAATGAGCTGCGACCACAGCGCTACTTTTTGTCCCCAGCTCCACGCCCTTCAAGTGTGTCGTAGATTGGATGCTTGTTGTTGAGATACGGGAAGGACGCACAAAGAAACGTTTTGATTTATAGTTAGATGGCATCTGCCTGCCAACTCCTCTCCTTCCTTCCCTCTTGTCCTTTAGTGTATCTTTCTGTAACCAACGTTCCCATTGTGCTGGCAATGTGGGGGGCGACGAAAGGTTAAGTGGGTGCTGTTGTATTCTGAACATAATGTGCTACATTGAAATTTCTCCCACAGCAAAAAAAAGGCAACATATTTGACATTAGAGCTGCTACATTATAGCCAGAGTTTGACTTTTCTTTGAAAATACTCTATCGGCTAAATAACCACTTATCCCTTATTCAATTTACACCCGCATGGAGAGGTCACTGACGTTTCCCTTTATAGTTCAGCCGTCGGCCCAAGTTTGTTCATCATCTGGTAACGTGATAAGGTGTAGGCACTATTTTCTTCTTGCTATTTGTGTTAGACATTGAGGTGTAACTGGAGCCCCAACGATACAGTTTAGCAGAAAACAAATAACTAGAAGCTGCTGTACATGAATGCGCAATATGTCATTTATACATAGTTTTAGTATTGCAGACATTTTCCATGAAGTTTTCACTGTATGTTTGGAGGGGTTAATGTATGTACTAACATCAAATGGATTGTAATCTATTTAGTCGGAGTCAAACCCCCCAAATATAAATCTGCTGGTGGCGTTACCAGATTGCAGGGATTTACCACATGAGGACTATGAATCTGTACCAAACTCCACTGACTGATGATGGACTGACTGACCCCGAACATTTTGTAACAATATACGTTGTTGCACTGTTCCCAACATTCATTTTAATATTTAAAGTAAATTAAAATAAAATACAACTCTTGAAAAGTGAAGATATATATATAAATCTTTTTTATAGTGTCTATTTTATAATGAAAGTAATTTAAAACAAAGAACAAACAACCCTATTTTATGTGCAGCCCGGGGGTCTTACAATGTCGCTATATGCTCAAAAAGAGCTCCGACCGAAAAAGAACCCAATATCTTTTGGCCTGGTGGACATGTGCGTTGAACTAGAAGAGAAATAAGATTTACCAGAATGATATCATTTTGGAGAAAATTCTGTCAGAAATACAGTGGAATCTACCCCATAAAGCTTCCCAACAAATATGAAAGTTTGGAGATGGAAAAAAGATTACACAAAAGACTGCACTCAACATAATACAACCACGACCTTCTATTTTAGCTGAGACTGTTTAATTGCATTGCAACCACAATACACACACAAAATGAAACCATCTTCACTGCATGGCCCAATGGTTCTTGTAATCAATTTGAAAATCAGTTGAATATTGAATTAAGGACATTGTGAAGCAAAACCACACCCTCAAAGGGGAAAGCATGGACACGAGTGAAGAAAGCGCATAATTTATGTTCCCTTATAATCTCTTAACGTATCGGCACAGTGAGTGATGAGGCGACTCGAAGGGAGGCGGACGGGAATTAATAAGAATGCATTTAACCTCTGAGCTCTACATCCATGTGCGCTCCAGAGAGGAAAGCCACTGAATTAAATCCCATCTCATATCCCTGAGTACGACGACCGCACTGCCCAGCAACAGCGCCTTCAAATTCTCAGCTCCTCGTGATTCCTGTTTCCTACTCTTCATTCGTCTCCTTTGCACTCTCTGCCTTTCAACTCCTCTTTCCTTCTGTTCCTGCTAAATTATTGCCTTTCTCCTCAAATGTAACATATTTAATATCATGAAAGAACATGCTTCCCTTTTAACTTGAAGAGGAACTAAAAGTATTATTACTTTCAGAAAAAGATGCCTGGGATCAGTAGGCGTCTTACCCAACAAATTCACTCTGAAGCTATTAGTTGTTATCCTTGAGACAGAGCCCTTTTCTTTTAAGCAATAGATATATCTCATTTTGGAGTTAAAATTCTGAAATGCTTTTTGTCAGTGGAAGGAAAAAATGAGAGGAGTTTATTTTTGATTCAATCTATTCAGAACCACTTTGCCAGCACATAATCCATTCTCTTCAGGACACAGCACACATCTGTTCTGCCTCACCTCGGTCTGCTTCAGTCCCTAATCCACCTCCGGGGAAAAAGGACTCGCTATCCCCTGTGTTTTACAACAGCAGCAACAACAAACCAAACAATGCGTCCTCCATTAAAGTTTGTCAGGTTAAAAGAGGTCGATGAATTAATGGAAACGCCTCCACAAAATGTTGTTGTTTATTTTACTGTCTGAGATAATGCAAATGTCAGCTGCAAAGGCCAGATAGGATGGAAAATATTGTTTCAGCAGCTCTCGCTCTGTGACTCCCTCAAACGCATTGGTTTAGAATACTGTCCCCATAACTCTCAGAGTTGCTGCTTGTTTTGCCGTGTGTGAATAATTCGGCGTACGGACGGCGGTTACTCAGCCGTAATGTCTGATGTTTTCCAGCCGTTGGCCTGCATTTGTTGTCCTTATCTACCAGCGTCAGGTCTCCGTGTGCGGATGATGTTTCTGCATTTGGGTAATATGTCATTCATTTGTATATGCCTTACTGAATACTGACTAACCCCGTTCACTCCACCTCGTTACATATCAAAGTCAATCAGATAACCAGAAGGAGAGCTAATCAGGGGCAGTAGTGGAATATACACTGGTGATGTCTGGTTTGAAAGATGTCAACGTGTTCAAGCCATGGAAGAGTCTCCTAAAAAGACATCACGGTAGATACATGATTCCCCATTTTGGGCAAATCCAATGTCAGAGAGATGTGGACACACACCCTCTGAAAAAACCTGGGGGCTTTACAAAAGTTTGTCATTAATCCACAAATTGCATCTAACCTTTGGTTTCACACAGAATCCTGTGTTTGATTGATCCGTTCACCCACAAGGGGATCAACCCTCTGAGGCAAATCTGTAAGTCGCGATTTTGGGAAATAAAAACAATGAATAACAAAATGACACATTTTTCAAACTAGATGTTTTCACATAAAACAAGGTAAAAAACAAAAAACAGCAATAACTTTCAATCCGTAGAGCCATAAACTGTCTTACCTGTAGGATCTTGCACCTCTCGGAGTTGCAGACGATGTCCTCGCAGGGATGAAACATGCCCAGCGTCACGCAGTTCAGCAGGATCACCAACATGGACGCTCGCTCGAACCACGTAGGGAACAACAGTCAAGGAACACACTGAAGACAGGTGATGACAGCTCAAAGGTGACAAAGGTACAAATTACATTTCTTTAGGTGCCCTCCAGTGACCTCATTATTCCCTTCAAAAGCACAAACGCCTACGATAAAGTGCTTACAAACTACCCGAACAAAGTTAGAGAGGAAGCTGGAGGGACTCTAACGGACTGAGAGCAGGAGGAGTAAACTGCACGTGAAGACATGCTGATGCATGGCGCATGCGACTTATTGAGCTCAGGGTGGAATCGAGCATTCCTAATGCGGTCGGGTTAAATGCCAGCCTGAGCTATGTGTCACAAATCAATGACTGGACCAAAAGCAGATTAGTGATACTGCCACACACACACACACACACACACACACACACACACACACACACACACACACACACACATATATACTAGCCAATTATAATACAGATACTTCATCCACTTTCAGCTTCCTACACTCGCCTGGTTAACAATGTTAGACAGAAAAGACTGTTTGTCATCCGACTGTGGAAAACAGTGCCTTTTCTTTTGCAAACAGGCTGTGAGGACAAACCCGTTGAACAGTCCTATTTCAAGGACATGGACAAACACAAGCCTATTCTCCGTTAAACAAACTGCGTATCAAGCTACTTGTTCACGTGGTTCCAAATGGATCAGGGTGTGGTATCAACTTCTCCTCGAAAGAGATGCAGCAGCTTCAGCAGTCCAACTGGAGTGGATGGACAAAACCATTATTTGAATCGTCCCTGCGTATGTTTACGTCATGTCCCCTACTTGTCACCGAGACACCGGTGAGACATCAACGAGATACACGATTGTTGCTCAGAGCGAACGCGTTTAAAACTAAAGTGCTGCAGAATGTGAAGTGCCACTTTACCAGACACAAAGCCACATTGAATGAAATGAAAGAAAGAAAACAGAGATATTGTGTTACAATAAGTAGGGGGTTTCGAAGTAGTGGAGGGCAAACAACCAAGGAGGGCCGAATGAAAAACACCATGCAGCTGCATCATTTTCATTCACTCTCTGCGTCCCAACGTTACAGCAGTGGTAAATCACAGGAGTTTCCCTTTAAGTGGTGAACTGTGTCTCTGTTGCATGAAAATCAGTGCTCCTCCAACCGCTTTTGCTTTAAATCTCACTAAGGAGAGCGCACACTGCTTCCCACGTTGGCTCTGAGCACCGACATGGGACATAAATCATTTGCTGCAGAATCATCCATTTTCAAAGCGGTTCCCAGGGATACCAGGCTACATTGTGATAACTCTGAGGTCGTTCCAATACAGTATTGAACAGGAATATTGAATAATAAATGCAGGCTGGAGGGGAGAGGAGACTGTGACCACGAGACCCCCTCTGCAGCACAGTGAACGCTGGGTAATGAACATTGCATCTGGAAGGCAGCACGGGATTATGTCGCACACGGGTCCAAAGGGATGCAATTAAAAAGATCAATCAGTACCGAGAATGGGATCATTAAACAGGAAACAAAAGGCTCCAGCTCATAATTTGGGAGAGTGGCGGCACCGAAAGTTTTAGGGGGAGCAAACTGTTGTTGACACGCAGCGGCGGAATGGGCAAAAAGTTCAATGCAGACGATCAGCCTGATGAGGCTGATTAAAAATAATGAGCTGCATGTGTCGTCTTTGTGTTAACGTAGCTAAATCAGCGCTAAACACAATGTCATATTTGTCACAGTTTCACTTGTGCGGTAAAATTGGTTTAGTAAGTAATTGTTTTTCCTCATCCATCAAAGTCTATCAGTCTACATAAAATGTCCTGTTATCATAGATATTCTAATTAATGAAGTTTTACCATAGCTGAAATAACTCAACCTTTTTCAAAGAAAACAAAGAGTATAAAGAAATGCACACCACACTTGAATAGTGTAAATGCACTTTATTATCTGCTAGCTTGTGTGTACTATACATGTTATGATGACATAAGCGCCTTAAGATTGTCAACTGTAAGCAGACCTGAACGTCTGTCCAGAAAACTCCTATTTCTCCAGTATGTGATAGAAATATTCATCCAATGTGTAATTAATTGATGACTCTGGTAACGGGGACCATATTTGCTTTTGAACCATACGTGTTGTTCTGGTTACAGAACTTATGTTATGTACTACAAGTCATACAACTAGTTCATGTCCAAAATGTTATGTCCATGGATGCTTTACAAAGTTTGCAAAGCAATGTCAAACCTGATGCTTCGACGTGAGAGAATTACACAGGTCACCTTCAACCAGGCGCACAACAACCGTCCACTTACATTTAGAATTCTGTTACTTTCTGAGGTCACTAGAGGACTCGTCTGAACACGTCACTGGTGAACCGCTGGCTTACTCAAAGCTCTGCACACAAGACAGGAATAATAAGCACCGTGTACTTTGAAATCACCTCCTAAAAGAAAGAAAGACAAACACGAACATCTAATTTGCTGATATGACTTGTGTTACAAATATAATTTTAAGAACCCATGGAGTAAATGGTCCTTATTTTACAATACCAAAGCAAAACGTGTTCCTCCGTTGTCTATAGCACAATCTAAAGCTCCTCATTAGGGAAACTACAGCGGTGACGGTGGCGCATGGAGTAGAGCGGGCTGCTCCATGTGCTACATCGAAGTGTCCCTGAGCAAGACACCTAACCCCTAATTGCTCCCCGGGCAAAAAGGTAAAAAGCCATGGGTTAAAAATGCTTTAATGACAAATGCGTTCAGTTTTATGGATCCTTTTGCAGATTTCTGATGCTAAAAAATTATCCATAAAACTCAATGGAGACATTAAATTGCTGGATAGATGTTGTCCCCAAAAAAACAGTGATCACGGTAAACGACAATACTGATACTGATCCTTGCTTTGGACAGAGTGGTCGACTGAATACATTATACGGCCTGTTATTTAGCAAGGCTGCTATCTCGCTCAATCAATAGATACAGATAACAAGCCGACGAATGGAAATGGAAAGAAGTAGAGGAGGAATAAAGAAAAGAAATACCACAACTTCCTATTACAAACACAAGGCTTAAGTAAATCTGCTTTTGTGCTACAGCTTTGATCAGCAGTAGCTCTTTGGGCGCTAATGTTAGTGGATTTGTTTCAGTATTATTTGTGCCAACGTCGCGACTCTCCACTGATCGCCACTCTGTTAGACTGAATGCTAGCGTCCTCCGTCAAAAACAAAAATGGCCACTTGTCGCCGAGGCTCGCTCTGAGGGAGCTAATGCTAACGCTAATATTGCACAATGAGGAATTACTGCCAAAAAGCACAATGCTTAAACGGTCTGACAATTTGTGAATTATGTTAATAAATGCGCACCTGCCACTACAAATCAAGTATTTGTTGGACTTGGTCGCACTAGATAGGGAATAATAGAAAATACCAAGTATGAAAACGTTTTTCTCGAAGAAGTAGACACTGTCTCTAGAACAGAAAAGACACAGAGACATTTTTTTCCTAAGAAGGGAAAGTAATACAAACACGGCAGCCTCCGTCTTTCTTTTAGGAAAAGAAAATTCATCAACAGAGGAGAACTTGGGCAAGGCGGAGGAAGACAAAAGAAAAACATCACATATGAATAATGTGACTGATCCAATCAATAACTCTTTCTCTCTCTGCCCTAATTCTCTTCCTCTGCCTCCACAGCTGGTGGGCTAAAATTAAACAATAAGTAGTGTTCTGCAACATGCACACACACAGACAGACGCACACACACCTCCATGGTGTCAGCAAGTGGTGACGCCCTGAGGGATGGATTCAATTAGAGGAAAGATACAGGAGGATATGCTCTGTCAAAAGTGTGATCGCGAGACGCACGCTCTACACAACAGACACAAACATGCAGACTCACACAAGGAGGCTTTCATCAGAGAGGCAACATTATCAAACGCCTCAACACCTCCAAAGGAATTCTGCTCCCATGAGTTCTTTCAGCTTTTCCTTCTGTCTCTCACAAGCACGCACACAAACAGGTTCAAACACACACGACAAGTCCCTCATCTTCTTGTCTAGTGAAGGGAAAATAAAATGTAAGCCTTCTGCCCCCCCTGCCTTGTGCCGCTGATTTACTCTGATTCTAATGATCATCTGACATCAGACAGCAGGGCACAAACAATGAATGACACTGAATGAAACCACTGTGTGTAGTATATACTGTATATGTGTGTGTGTGTGTGTGTGTGTGTGTGTGTGATACTGTGGCTCAGAAGAGCAAAGTTTTGGTGAAGTTTCGACTCTCTCCAGCTCTTAAATCTTTCATGCGTCTTGGGGAATCGTCAGTGGCAGGAGATGAGGTTCACGCGCAGTCCGAGGCCGATCAATACAGACAAGCCTCGGTGGATAGATATTACTCATTGTGTTTACTTTAGCTCACACGGGACGTGGTTCTGCATTTCCACACGCACACGTCTTTGGCTCTTCACAAGAATCTTAGAAACCGCAGCACTTTTACTGCCTTCACAAATCCGCTTCAAAGAATCTTCTTTCTTTCCCCCTGGCACACTGGGAGTATAATCTTCAGTGAAAATTTAGCTAACACAAGACTTTACACTTGAAGCCAGGTGTTCGCGTCACGGTTTGGCAACAGAGCGGTATTCCTTACATTTATTTATTTATTGTTAAGCGAAGATGAGAACCAAATGAGAGATTTCTCACCTGAATTCCTTCAGCTGAAATACTATATACATTAAACAGTAGCTTTCCACATCTGGCCTCGTCTCTGGGATTAGATATCTCCACGGTTCATATCTTAACAATGGGTGACTTCCAAACCACACATTGCAAGTTAAAACCGCGTGTTCGTTGCTTCCTCCATACAGTCAATGAGACAGCTTGATGCAACTTGGTGAAATTCTGGCATTACAGCTCCACATTATGCTCATGAAAGGAATCCAGATCAAAGCACAGCGGATGTGCAAAGGCACCACTTCTTGTTCAACACTCGCTCTGCCCTGGAGTTCGAGGACGAATGCAGAGCCACCGCG